CCCCAAAACCCCAAAACCCCAAAACCCCAAAACCCCATATGTAGGAAATATAAGATTTAAAGATAAAATTATTTATAGAGATTATCCTAATTATTTTATAAGTCAAATATAATTTAAAATCCAAATTGAGATGGGTAATGCTGATAGCCATGTTAAGCAGGAATACGGTTACTTATACATTTAAACAAATCAATCGCATTATGAGCCTGGCCAGCAGGTTATTGGAACTATTTTTATCAGAACTATGATGCCACTTGAAGTATCAACGATAAACATTGAAGTCAAAGGAGTTGAGAAGGGTGGATTTACAGTGACTAGGAGTAATGGAAAATCAACTCATAGAGAAAGAAGATGGTACACACATAGACACATTAAATACGATCAGCCCTGTTTCAATTTTGCAGTCGATACACTTTAACCTGGAGATTATGCTGTTCCATTTTAATTCAATCTGCCTTTAGGTATACCTGCTACAATGTTCTTGAATGATCCCAAACATAGAGATCATCCTAAGATGAAGGTAAAGTACACTTTGAGAGCCAATTTGAAAAACAAAGTGAAGAAGAATCTCATGTTCTTTAAGTAGATCATCAAAGTTGTAGAGCCAATCATTGAGTACAAACAAGATTTGCAAAATGTTAGCGAAAGAAAAGTCACAACATGCTGCTGCATCAATCAAGGTATTTCCAGAATCGAAGCTCACTTTGATCGAAATATCTTCTACGCCCATGAAAACTGCAGAGCTGAAATTAAGATTGATAACTCTAAGTGCAATATTAACATAACAGATTCAAGGCTTGCAATCGAATAGCATATCTATATAAAAGCTGGCTGGGATGTGTTTAGAAATGTCTATACACTTGGTGAAAGATATGGAAAAGAGGTGAGAGCAAGAGATGCTTAAATATCTAATTAAGTGATCGACTTGCCTCTGAGTACAATAAGATATGAGGTTCATGAGGAGAAGAAGAAAGATGGTTCAATGAAAATTTATTCTGATTAAGAAAAATTCCTTATGGGATAGCTGCAAGCTGCCTCTCATGGCAAGTAACTAACAAATGAGTATTTTGTGGCTATTAGATGCAACTATCAAGGGTGCACTTGCTGCAGAGAGTTACCTCATATCAAAGTACCAGTCGCAATTCTTCCAACTGAAGTACCAGATTTGATGAGGTAATAGACAGAAGTTGAGAGACCAGATGACTACAACCCTATATATTACAAAGCTTATGAATTCGATCTCACAAACGAAGTGTGAAGAAAATATCGTTATCTCGTAACAAATTATTCAAGGAATTTCCAAATTTAGAAAAACTATCATTTATTTCAAGCCAGCAGATATTTAATTGAAGTAATATCTTTCAATTTATTTGAGTTTTCTTAAGCCTCAGCTATTTTTAGATCAAGGGGTTTTGGGGTTTTGGGGTTTTGGGG